GATTTTTGTGGTTAAATCTCAGTACCTATGAAATAAAAATCGTTCTCGAATCTCTCTCTATCAACCCTACCTACCCCTCCCTTCCTTCAGTCTCCTTTATCCTCTCATCTAATGCAATATTTGCCAAGAAATATTGAGACTACAGTAAGGAATTAAGTTGATTCTCTTGCTCACTTTGGTATTTTTTGTTTTACTTTTTACCCAAGGGCCCTCCTGGTCAGGTGCTGGGGTTTCAAAGATTTACCCAAAATGATGACTTTGATCAGGTAATTTTTCAGATGTTTGAACTCAGTTTCAGTGTTTATTATACTATTTTCTTCTTTTTTACACTATGATTGTTTGGTATCTTCTCAGGCAATACAAAACATCAAGTCTTTGCTATACGTGTCTTCTACGGTGGAGAAATACAAATCCCCTTTAGGTACCAGAGATAATCCAGCCACGTCGTGCAAAGACCTTATGTACAGTGACAACTATCAAGACGGTGGGTGAGGAGTTCCTTTTTTTAGGTCAACAAACTGTTTCCGAAGCGTTTGAAAACTCACAATTTGACGTAGACAGTCGAGCTTGAATTGAGTAGGACCGTATTTAACGGTCACCCTATACGAAATGGTTGGCTTCCAAAATTTCAAATTGTTTTCCTCTGGATTAGTGTAATTTTCATATCAAACAAGCAGTCACTCACCTTTGACAGAGTCCTGTAGGCTTTTTAATATTGTTGAAATCTCTCTTGAACGGTCACCAAACAGGAACCACTGAAATGAAATCATTTTTTACGTTTACATACAAAATAGAAATTAAGAAAGGAAAAAAAAAGAGAAAAAGACACACACACTTATATAGTACAAATAGAAGAATACCAAGCTAAACACTCACACAAAGCTATTGCAGCAATGCAGTTACCTAGTATGTAAGTTGCAATGACATCACTTTTAAACTAATGATGGAAATTAATCATGACATCGCTTATTCGTAAAAACGCTTATTAACCTTTCCCACTTTCTAACATGATGACTAAATTTGTCTCTTTTCCCAGCAATATGGAGTTCGATATTATAAGCACGCCTTGTCCTGGCTATAAAACCTTGAAGAGAAGGTATACCATTCTGGTATTTCCGAGAGTAAATAGAAAATTACCCGGAAGCAAAATATAGTTAAACAGGAGAAAATCTTCTGCAATATCGAACTTACCAAAATGACATCTTCCTCTTCAAGGTTATCAACAGGAAAAGAGTAAATGTTCTACGGATTCAATCTCTGAAATCATGAATCCCTTTCTTAAGTAATTTTGTTAACCGTACAAGATTGCACTAAATCAACGTTTGTTATTTAAGTTCAAACGTCATCACCGCATTCCACATGATATTCTTCTTTCATTTCTCACTCAAACAATTATTTGAAAGTAGAGAAGTTACCCTCTTAAAAAAGAAACTGACAAGGCACTTCAAGGCTATGACTGCCGCCTTAGCTTAGCACACTTGCTTTCAGTAATAAATTTTGGCATATCACGGCCTCTTTATTACGTTTGATCTCTATTTTGTGGAACCTTCATTAAATGCATATGGTCGTTCATACATTCTGCGAGGGTGACAGTCTAGTACAGGTTCGATTAAAATAGTGTTAACCATTTCTGGTACAGGTCATTTCTGGATTGATCCCAACCTTGGATGCCCTGCTGATGCCATTAAGGTATACTGCAACTTTACCGCTGGAGGAGAATCTTGTGTTTCTCCTCTTCAGGATAAGGTACGTTCGTTTTCTTCCAACACGAAAATTAGTCAGCATCAGAGCACAGCCAGTTCTTGTGTATACGGTTCTCTTGAGTCACGATGTTTTTTTTTTTTAATCAAGTCCCTGAAACTCGAGCCATGTCTTTATGTAATCTACAGATTCCGAAGAAGACCTGGAGAAATGATTCAGAATCATCGTGGCAGAGATTTTCAAATCTTGAACAAGGTTTTAAGGTAATGACGGTATATCCTGTTCGCTGATTAGCAAAAGTGCAACTGACTTCTTGCATTTTCTTGATAACATTTTCTACTCGTTAATTACCACCTGCTTGTTAAAGAAGCCTTCTCTCCACTAATTTATAGATCGGCTACAAAGCCAGTAAAGTACAGCTTAACTTCCTGAGACTTCTCAGTACCAGGGTAAGCCAAACAATAACAGTCAAGTGTAAGAGGATTGTAGCATGGTTCCACAGAGCATCAAAAAGTCATCGTTATTCCTGGATCTTTCATGGAAGGGGAGGCTACGACTTCACACCGACAAGCAATCCAAAGCCAAATGTTACTCGAGACTACTGCCAGGTATAGACAAGTATGAGTGCTGTTTTGATAGCACAACTCAAACGTTGCACAGTTAACAAGATGATATCCAGTTGTTTTTTTACTAACACTTTTTTACTATTTTTCAACAGCGCGATGATGGAAAGTGGCGCAGAACCGAGTTTAAGTTCGAAACTGACAAAGTTGATGTTCTTCCTATTGAAGACTGGACATTCTTTCATCGTGCAGTGGGAAGAGAACAGTTTGGTGTCAAAATTGGACAAGTTTGTTACCGATGATAAAGATTAGCGAGGATATTTGCATCCGTGGAAGACTTAATTTCTCGAATAGAAAGCGACTGAACCAGTTATCACTAAGTTGCTGTATTTATTTTTGTAGAAAAGGGACGTTATTCCGTTCTCGTTTATTTCTTGCCTGAAATTATAACTGTTACCGCATGTTTTGGCGATCTTCCAACTTAACTAACGACCGTCTCCTAACCAGATATGGTAGACTGGAAATGCGTCATTACAACGGAAAGGGCTCTGTACTATTTAGCGTAAGAAACAGATTAAAGGCTGAAATGCCTTTTACTTACGAAGCATGTTCCCTCGACATATGTTGCTTTGAAAACCTGTCGAAGCTACCTTGAGCCAGTCATTCTTATTTCCAAGTTTATGTTCATTTTTTGCTCGGAGAAATGCTCAGAAAATGAGTTCTTTGACGTTTCAGGCTTCGTTTTTTTATGATTATAAAAAAAGAAAACGTATTTTAGCCGAACGTATGGGCAGAATTTTGTTTTGGAATCATATTTGGAAATGTATTGAGAAATATGTGACTTTTACACTTAAAAAGCTGATCGATGGGGCGAGTTTTTTTTTAAGTGATACTTAGCAATTTGCCTTCGTGGATGCGACTGACCGGTTGATCACAATTTTTCCTGCATGTTTCTAGCAAGTCTTAATAAATATAGTTTAAGGACTTTCATGCGCCTAAACGCATATAACTTAAAACATCTGCAGCTTTTAAAACGTTTGCAACTCTTTTGGGACCTCGCTAATTCTCTTTTTTTCGTGCAAAGTAAAGCTTGCTTCACTGCGGCTTTTATTGAATGAGCGTTATTTCCGATAATAACTCATGGCTGACAGTAGGAACCCTTCTGACCCAATAAAGTTGAGTCGGTTTGTGATAATTTTTTTTTACTTGCGCGATGATCTTCGCCGAAAGGGAGGGACTAATCGTAGTCTAAACAGAACATTGCCTGCTTATGGATACTAATTTATCTTCTCGTGTTTATAAAGTATCTCACTCGCTCGTGAGGGACATCGAAACTCAAAGATCAAATTTGTGTCTACACACTGTTATGAAATTTCCTTTTTATTTCTGGCAGAGGAATTGAGAAGTTTTAGGATTCGAAAGAATTCATATACAAATCTTGAATTTTTAAACGTTTAGAAAGGGTCAAGACTCTTTCTAGATAAGACTTCCAGTGTTAGGATCCTTCCTGGCCATAAGAACCAGCCAAGAAATCGTCGAAAAATTTGAAGACAGGATCATTCGTTTGAAGGAACTGTGTACTCAAGTGAACATAATAGTCGACAGACTTAGACGAAGACCTCTGTTTCAAAACATATATCAATGGCTTCGTCAAAATGAACATTCTAAAATCAACGTACTAAAAAAAAAAAAAGAAGTAATCCCGAAAGCCATTCAGAACAAAAATATGACAAGGCGTTCGCGAAAACCGTAAAGTTTAAACGAAGAAACTCTCTGGATTTGATCTTGTCTGATTGGTTGAGAGGGTTGCATGAGTTTTGAAGATCAGTGACGTAACTCTCGAGAACCAATTTGACATTACTTCATAAATAAAGAGAAATGATGAATGAAAGAAGAAAGAAGCTGCACCCTTTCCCTGGGTATTTGTTGGCGGGAATAAAACGGGAGGAAAAACTCTAAAAGCCTCACTACCGTGACTTATTTGTTACATTATCAACTTTTGAAATAACGTATATCAATATTAATTTCCGAAATATGGCTGCTGTATAGGCATCTGATCCCAGATTTTGTTTTCTTCGGCAATGTTTTTTAATATCAATGTTTCTGTTTCCTCACGTGAATTCTGCCCAACAGTTCGGTTGTGTTTGCAAGGAGCAATTAAAGCGTAGAATCAGGATTTTTGCACATTATATGTAAAACTGACATTTTTGTTACTGACTTGACTAATTTTATTCTATCCTTGCGAGTGTTCTCCAGCTATGCAATTATGATAAACCGACTGGGAAAACTTGAGTGGTTAGGATTGTCCCCAACCAAAACACTGTCGCTTTTTTTTTTAAGAAACGAAGGGCAGTGTGTTACTAAACCTGTTGATAAACAATTTTAAATGATAGTAAAAAGTGTAGTAGTCGCTTTAAAAGTACATTAAAAGTAGAGTATAAACTTCGCGCTTATTATCTTGAAATTTAATAAGACAGAAGACAAGACGGAGAAGCGAATGATTCTAACCATCTGGCAGTTCAAGTTCAGTTTAGAAAAAGAACTCGTTTTTCTTATTGACCCTAACACACTCTTTTTCAGTTTTCGATTTGGCATTAAATTTTGAACACCAACCGTTTGCATGCAATTTGAAAAGGCAAAGAAATTCCATGGCAAAGAGATTCTATAGCTAAAAGGAGAGTCTATAGCTATTGAAAAATATAAAGCTTCCACTGTCCCAACTGTAACGGTTATTTCTTGTATTCAACAAAAAAATTGATTCTCTAATCTACTGGAGCTATTAGAAAAAAAAGTAAAACGGTTGGGTTATATTTAGAGATAGAGGTATTTAAGTTGAAACCTATCTCCCTTTGCAAAGAATTAACTACAAAATCTGAAAAGCTTTGTATATTAGTATTTCAATTTATCATAATATTTCTTCTCTTTGAGGTAATAAGCTAAAGCGTTCAGAATAATTTAAACATATTTGAATGCATCACTTCATATAAATTTAACATCTTTAAATTGTAACTTGTTACATCACGCTGTTAATATAAATTACTCTTTGAATTCCGTATTGTTCGCTTATGTAAATTGTTTTGGTCAAATTAATGCAATATATATAGATTTTTCTTCAGGTCGTCATTTGATGACTGTGACTAGCATCGTCAGTACACAGCCGCTGAACATAGTTTTCGCGATGAATTTGTTTTCTCGGCATGGCGAGCTCCGCACAGTGGCTTGTCGAGGAAGAAGACCCCCTCAGAGCTCAAATTTTAGGAACCTTTCAAAATTAACTACGTCCTACAGGGATGTGATGAAAAATTTCACAGCTAAAACTTCTCTTCAGTTCTGTCGGCCCTCACATGTTCCTTCTCCTAGAGAAGCGCAACCGATGGAATAGTTGGACAGCTGTCGACGCCATAAAACCACGACGAATTCCTTTGGTGTTGGATTATTTAAATTCACCATATTAAAGCCGGTCTTGTGAAACTGCAGCTTCCAAATTTTCTTTCGAAGTTCTTTGAATAAATTCTAGAACTTCCTTCAACTATCAGCACCAATCATCCGCATCGTCGTCTTCCAGCCCATATATAGCATACGGACTTGCTCCTTGTTCAACAGCTTCCTTTATATGAGTGTTTATTCGAGTTATCATGTCGTCATAATACGGATCTCTCCTTAAATGGGGTCGATCTTGATCCACTTCCACTCCAGTATCGCTATCGCTAGAACTGTCAAGATCTAGAGATTTTCCCTCCATAAGAGCTATGAAGCCAACAAAAAGAGGACAACTTTTCACAAAAATACTCTACAAGCACCTCGAAACACAAGAAGTACTGATCGTTCCTTTTCGAACGTTTCAAAATCTTTATGTATTAGATTTATCTTCACTATAATGTACAATTTGGAATTTATTTGGATAAAACTGACGGTTCAAGAGTTTTCGAAACATGGGAAATACTGACTATAGCCAAACACACAAGATTAAAACATCTCTGAGGTAGGATTCATAAAAGCAAACTAGTTGCTGAAAGAAATTTTCGGCAAGTAGAAGTTAGAGAGGGGCCTAGCTTGAATGAGAAATTGTACCTAGGTCACCTTTCTCATTCCTTCTGGTAGTCGGTGTAAGGTAAAGAGCCGGCAAAGCGGCTTGGTCCCTAAGCCGCTCGGCCACTCTGGGCGTGGTTACACTACAGGGTACAGAAGCCCCCACCACACCACGAGAGGAGTCTGGATAAGTCTGAAACAAGACCAAGCAAATCATGAATATGTATTGCATTTAGCGTTGAATTGCTAACCAACATCTAACATTGAACCTACGCGGCAAACCGACTCGAAAGGATAAACCTCAGCAACGTTGAGATTCCTACAGCAGCTAAATCTGGAATATTGTGGTAATCAGGACAAAATTTAACCAGGTCGCGTCAACTACAAAGTTTCCAGTCAGGATGAAGGCAAAGCACTGACGTTTATCCCAGTGGAGTCAATTACAATCGTGTAACATTGTTTAGAAAGTAATTACCAAAGTTATCCAATTTTTTCTCAAAGCAAAGTCATTCTGACCTACCATCATCTTATCTACGCGATACACTGTTTCTTGAAATCAGATACACGTATTCTTTATTCATACCTGCGGTCCATTTTTGTTGACGTCACCATTCGATTTGGATGTCGGATCCAGGCTGCTATATCGTCTGACATGTTCTTTTGGTAGGGGTCTGTAAGATAGTAATCATACAAGGTGAGGTAAAGCAGGACAATAGTAAGATACGAAAAAAATTGTTCAAGATGGCTTATGGGAAAACTTTGTTCCTGTGCCAAATCAGATTTTTTTGGTCAACCACAACATTTTAAGACATAAGTGAAGTTGTGCGGGATCATTACTTTTCGAACTCATGCTTAGGCAAGTCACGTTTTTAACTTGTTTATTGGATGAATTTTTAGCAGCTAATCAAGTCGACATAAAATCCATCGAACCGACAACCGAGCCATGTCCCTGGTTACCAGTCCTTCGGTGATGTAGGAACAACCGTTGACAATCGGCACGTAAGTTCCGAACGGTTTGAGCGATAACGAAATTTTTTTTTTTTGGACAATCTCGATGGAAGTCACTCCGACAGTCGGTTTTTTTTACAAGTTAAGAATAACAGCACCTGCTTAATTGCATATGTAAATTTGAGGTAAAGGACACAAGGAATATATTGCAGTCCCTTGACACGGAACAGAAATAGATCTGATTATGTGAATTTCCCACAGCGACTGCACGTACGTAATTATCTGAGGACGGTGAAAGCAAAAGGGTTGTCGCTACTCATCAGGTGAGTTAAACTGGTTTCAATGAAGCAAACTAATTCTGATAAATTTGAAACAAATTCCAAGCAACTGCAATGAATCATGAAGGATAAAACTGGCTTTCCACACTAAGCTTAAGAAATATTTGACATTTCGTTAGGTGTTAACATTTTGTAGGACTTTCTTTCAAATCCCAGGTTATTGTAAGCTTACATAAATACAAAACCCAGATGAAGGTTTTTTTCCCGATCAAAATCAACCAAGTAAATTTTCGTTCAAGAGCGTAAACACCAGACAGTTTTAATATTCATGAAACGAAGCTATTGTTAATTTTCTTTAGATTGGTTCTATCACAAAAAACGGGCGTCTTCCTCTGAAAAAAAAGTAGTGAGTGAAAAGTGAATATTAGCCTTTATTTCAATATTGTTTACTGCATTTCGGTAGGGGGGAATAGAAAATTTGTATACAAGCTCTAAGTGTGAGGTAGCGTGGAGTAACTAACAAAAACTGAATATCATGAGTGTGAAAACAATCTCTCTGAATTAACTCAAATGCCGCTTAATTGGTTCTGCGGTTTGTTTAGAATATCGTTTTCTCCTTTTTTCCTCAAATCATTCTGTAAATGAAATGTCACTTAACGAAACTTAGCATAAATTTTCTTGCTTAAATCACAAAATGCATGGAATTGTTCTCCCTGAAATATTTCAAAGCCACTCAATACTCGCTAAGAGGAAAAAATTGAACCCAGTTAGAAGGCATTAGTTTTAAATTTCACCAAAAAGTTTACAAACGTTCTTCTTGAATCATGGCCATTGAATTATACATTGCCATTTTCACATTTATGCAAACCAAGACCTGAGGAAAAACTAAAAGAAAACCTCATTGTTCATTTGTTAATGCATGCACACTTCGCAGAAATCATGATATCACGATAAGTTGTCTGACGAGAAAGCGAAATTAAAAATGCCCAGTGATCAGATATTTCAATAATTCATAAAATTCTGACAAATTGATGAAGTCTTTCGTTGCAACATCAGTCTGATGGGCACATCACTTCCGTCAAATGTCAAGATCTATTTAAATTTCATTTACGAAATTAAAGAATGTCGGACGAAACTAAAGCGCTTAATTAAAAGCACTGCTTGAAGCGAAAACATACTGTCGATGATATGCCACAAAATAAATATTCACCAGTTGTAAAGCATCACAAACAAGAACACAATATCACTGTGAAGATCTTTCGCTAATTGTTAAAATCCTTTACTTATTCCTATTTTATTTTACATATTTGTCTTTATCACCAAAATAGTAAATTGATGTTATTTTTAATCATTTTAAATCAAGTACATATTCAATAAAAACGGACAGAGAATAAGACTACTCAATTGCATACAATTTCTTTCTCTGAAATCGAGACAATATTTTACTTTAAAATTAAATCGCATTGTGAAAAATTCTAAAAATTGCCTCAAACAAATTTTCCACTTGCGGAGGTAAGACAAATAATTTTCCCCCCTCATAATTTTGCATTGTGAGGTGTCATTTCTTCGACACTTGAAAAAAACGCAAAAGTAAAATCGTTCGTCGAAGGGGTAATCCTTTCCGGACAAAAATTTTCCAAGGATTGAAAAAATTCTCGGTCGAGTAATAGTACTGTTTTTCAAAGGAAGGTGGACGAAAAATTGACTTGGCAAGATTCTAAGAGCACCTGCCCATGGAATGTATGAAGAAGGCGGTCGCATCCTCTTTCTGTTTTTTATCTCATTTATGGCAAAAGTGACGTGGGGAGTCATTTGAAACAGGAAACAACGAGAGTGGATATCTAAAAAATCTACTTAAAGCTGGACGAAAGCTTTTACCGATCGATCTGTAGGGATTAAGCCTCAAAATAACAAAAATTTCACTGTGAATAGAAACAATAACAATCCTGAAATTCATTCCGGCTACATTGAGAGGTGAACGTGAATCTGCAAACTTTCATTCACTACTGTAAGATATTTCACATTGAATAAAATAGTTTGCTACTCAAAAAGAAATTTACAGCTATCGAGCCGTTTTGAATCTGACACAATTCAGAATAATAATTCACTGCTCGCATTGCATTCTGAATTATCTAAACAGTTTTTCCATAGAGAAAACTGAAAAACCAATGGATGAAGAACAGCGATTTCCAAACGCCTCACTACTTCTCATTCCTATGCAGGAGCAGGTTCTAGAACATTAAAATGGAAAATGAAAAGCCACAGTGTTTTAATAAAGTCATGTTGAGAGAAACATGGAGAGAAGCCACAAAGTGCTTCCTTTACTTTCACTACCCGCGGTTTAAGACGGGTGCGGCTTTAAAATGTACCGTCGATCTAAAAGGTTACGAATGGAAAGAGAATTTGTGGAGTAAAACCTGACAGTGAAAAGAATGAAACAATCTTTATGTTGTTTTCAAACAGAATGCAATCGTTTGTTTGTTTGTTTTTTTTTTCCATACCAATTGATTCAAACGTAGGGAACGAGACATAGATAAGAATTAGAAAATTTCAAGATTAAAGTGGAAATCAAACACATATCAAGAACGCTAAAGCACATGCAGTTTGATTAATGTATACGAGAAAGGCTATTTTCCACGCTTACAATCACTGAACCAAACCCCCTTTCTCTTTTCTTAACAACAAATTTCCATGCTGCTGAAATTTTCATCAAAGAGCGGACAAATCACGAGTACAAAATCTATCAGGGAAGTGTTTGTTCCATGGTTACAACCGCTAAAGAATACCACCACAAAAAGTGTTCATGAAGATGAGTTGAAAATAAGTGACAACTGAAATAAGCGATGATGTGTAATGGGGATTGAATTTATTTTTAAATGACTCGATGCAAAAAGGGGAAATTTTAAGTTTTCTCGTCATCTCATGAGCCAATTTTCTATCGGATAAGTTCAAGGAAAGGATCGAAATAAAATGCTAACGGCATGCCTCTTTCTGACCATGAATCGTCTGAGCCCGCGGTTCTATCAATGTTTTGCCTCGTTTTCTTGCTCCCATTGGAGTAAACATGTGACTTGGTCCTAGCCGATCAGTGCTAAACCAGAAAATGGAAAAAAGTGCATAATAGACTAACCTATTGATTTCGATTGCATGATCATTTCTTCTGTTATATATGTTTTATTTTTACGTCCCTTAACGGGTTTATTTTAAATCAATTGTAGGCATGAAATCATCTTGCACCATATTTCTCCTGTAAAGTAGAATACTTAACTACAGCTGTAACTGAGCTCTTAGTCATATTTATTACTTCTTTTCAAGGGAGCTGAAACTTCAAAACAACAATTGTTTCATGTGCAAGATATAACGTAGTTAAAAACAACAAGTTTCACGATTGTCAAGACCAACATCCATTAGCGAGATAAAATACACGGACAGCACACCTCTCATACAACAATCTTTGGCGAACTGAACGGAATTCAAGATCCAACTTACACTCAGGAGTGAGGGAATTTGGTTGGTTAACTGCTTCGTTCACCATGAGCAGGGTACCAAAACTCATCACGTAGAGTTAAGCAGACGCTATCTTCTAATTATTTTCTCTAAAGGTAACTTATAATCCAAAGTCGGCTCCTGAACACAAAATTTATCTCCCTGGAAGGAGCTAAGTTCAAATAGCCTGAGGCGTCAAACGCCACGGGCTGTCATTCAAGCTTGTAATGACGTCAGTACTGTCATCGAGGCCAAGTTAATACGCTACAGCTTGCCTTTGCTTTGTAAAAATTAAATTTTTTTTATGAGGTATTCTCTGTTAAACAGAGTTGCAGTTGTTTGTGATAGACAGTCAGATCCAAAATTTCAGGGGATAGGGGCCGTTTTCATGGACATGAGTATGGGACGGTAGGGACTCGAATGATTCTTGAAGTGTTTCTTGACTTCTTTCACTGCAAAGATAAAACGTATATCAACTTGATACTAATGCCCTAGCAGTGAGTGTGTCGCAAAAAATCTCATACCTACCGCTAAACAATCACCTGTAGAAAACCGAATCGTCTATGTTTTGCAAAGGTAACATCAAAGCGAGACAGGCCTGATTTTGACGAAAAATGAATTTGCAAGGTTTGACTGTTACTTACCATCTGACATGCCAAGTTTCATTTAGCAAAAGTATCCGCAAAACTTCATAATGCGCCTCTCAAATTTATCGCTCTGTTATTATCCTTATGGATGCGTTATAGAATAAGGCACTCTTTCCGGTTGTTACCATTCACCTGCTTTGAATTATCAAAGTGCCGGTGATCCCGAAGAAAACCAACCTATTAGTTCATTTTACAAGAGAAATAGACCACACCCTATATCGATTCACTGGCGTGATAACCCATCAGAGATATTTCTAGGATACTCGGAAATGTGATGATCATTTGCTTCGTAAACAGCTTACATAACACCACCGAATTGCGCCGCAGTTTTGACTGGCTGCACCGCAAGTCACTTTAATATTGAACGTAGGTCATAGCGCGGACAATCAATTACAGTTAACTGTCTACTTCTCAGTTGGTTGACCATCTAACTCAAGCAAACACATAGTTGATACGAATACCGTTCACCACTAATTCATACAGTGTACGTACCGTGCCATAGTAAGTCGAGCGTCACTAGTGTAAGCTCTCTCTCTACGTCTTTCCACATTCCCAAGTTCTATGTCTTCCCTTATCATATTCGGCCTCCTCTGGCGTCGCAGGGAACCAACTAACTTAGAGAAAAGACCTCTCTGTTCAAATGGAAGAAAGAAAATCAGGTGAGATATGAAAAAGGAGGGATGTTACAAGACACCGAGCAGCAAAGTGTATATGTAATAAATAACAATCACCTTATTACCGAAAGGTAAAAAAAAGAAAGAAAAAACAGTTACAAACCTTCGAGTTTGTAGTGCTTCTTTCTTCTTCTCTTTCAGCCTTAAAACAAAAGAAAGTTAGAATGTTCAGTTCATACTAAGTTATCTATTCCTATCAACTAAAAGGTCTAGCAGGGACAGACATGAATGTCATTCAAGGTCACTCAACGTACAAAAAAATAATATGGAGAGAGGGGTGAGAAGCGTTACGTTGAACACCCACTAACAGAAAGGTGGGTAGTGCAAACACAATGGATCTGTTTTACTACTCACCCTTTCCGTCTGCGTGCCCTTCCTCTTCAGGTATTTGTAGTTCTCGTGTATAAGCTTTGCACAGTGAATCTTTCCTATTGTCATTTGCTGACAACTCAGTTCTGTAAAATACATTAAACTGATCAACACTTCAACAAGGGGAAGAACGAAAAAATTCATGCCATAGTCAATCTGAAGAAAGTCACTTTATCTGTCTCTCAAACATCGATATTTGGCCAAACACAAAATATGAACCAAGTTGATATTTTCAAAAGTTAACTCATACGTTGAATAGCTATTGAAAATAAACGAGCATCTCCCCTAACATGTGCGCGCACTTGTCACTAAACCACTTTACATATTGCCGCTACAAATAGCAACTACCTCATATAAAAGCAAAAACATTTAAAGACTGTTTGCGATCTTGAATCACTTACCTAACTGTTTGGGTATCAAACTATTCAATACTTTTTGTGAGGTTTTTGGCCAAACTCTCTTGATCATTCGCCGTAGCTCTGTGTCATTTGCATTCATGTTTCCCCGCAGTTTGATGTTCAGTGAGGTTCGAATCAAAGCGAAGAGAGTCGTACTGAATGAGACCGTGTTATCGTCGTTCAGTGGCATGTTCATCTTGATCAGGCGCTAAGCAAGAGGAGACCAGTGTAAAACACCTTCCGTTTAAGGAGTTATCTCCCTGTTCTTATTTCCAGTATTTAAACT